GGATTGCCTAGAGCTTGTCAGAGCATGTTACTCAGGAGCATCCAGGCGGGTCTTGAAAATCTCCAAGGAAGGGGACTCCACACCCTCCCTGGGCAGCCTGTTCCAGGGCTCTGTCACCCTCACCGTGAAGAAGTTTCTCCTCATATTTGAGTGGAACCTCTTCTGTTCCAACTTGTGCCCGTTGCCCCTTGTCCTCTCACCTGGGAACCACTGAAAAGAGTCTGGCCCCCTCCTCCTTCAACCCTCCCTTGAGATACTTGTAGGCATTGATAAGGTCTCCCCTCAGCCTTCTCTTCTCCAGACTAAAGAGTCCCAGCTCTCTCAGTCTCTCCTCATAAGGGAGATGCTCCAATCCTTGAATCATCTTTGTTGCCCTTCGCTGGACTCTTTCCAGTAGTTCCCTGTCCCTCTTGAACTGGGGAGCCCAGAACTTTGAATATGCTGCAGACGAACAGTATGACGTTCAGGTGGTCTGTCTTCAGTTTCTCTGCTTGCAAAGGAGAACGATTGCTCCCTTTTGGACTGGTGCTGGTGGTACTGTGTAAGGACACTGTGTTAGCACAGGACATCACTTGCCCAGATGTGTACTGGGTCTGTAAAGTGCGGCCAGATACGCATGTGGCATCTGAGGTGACTGCACCATCGCCTTCCTTCCTGGTGGATGCTGTTGGTGGGCACTGGAGAAACAACCCTGACACGGCTTTCATGGAAACATGTGCCAGAACTCTCACTGGTTTCACTAAAAGCTCCGTCGGGCTCAGTGGATTGCTGACAGACCTCTTGCAAATTAAGGCTTCTCCCAGGACTCTTGGGAAGTGAAGCTTTGTGGGTTTTCAAAGTGTGTGTTGGGGTTTCATATATTCTAATTGTGCTGCTTCTCGTTTTCTGCCCCGTGCATGACATTGAGGCTTCTTGCTGTTTGAAGTGCCCCTGTCTGGTGTTTCACAGGTCAGGAATGTGTGCTGGGATTCATCTGCTGTCTTTGTACAACTGGAGAGAGTGACATAATGAAACCTGCTCTTCCCACCATAGTACTGCCATGTGCCAGCTCACATCAAACCCTGTGCCTTCTCAGAAGCTTCCAGCTCGCCGGTAGCTGTTACTCAGAGCCCTGGAAATCCCAGGATATCTTGGGTTTCCTTTGCCAATCCTGGAGGCTTTGCTTCTGGTCCTGACTGTTGTGTGATGCTTCAGAGCAGGGCAGTGTATCCCCCGAGATCCAGGGCACACACCCAGTTGTGCAATGTCTCTAGAGTTCCTTCCCGATCCATTTTGAGGACTCACCTTCTTCCCTGAAGCATGAAAATTGCTTCTCCTTATCTTCAACTCCATTACTCTGGCTGCTGTCATCATGTTATCTGTTGTCCTTTTCAAACCAGCCCCACTGTTGACTCTTCTGACCTTCCCTCCCGATGAATTTCGTGGGCTGGATGCATCATTGAGAAAAACAACATTTCTTAAACTTACTTTCCCCTGATCAAGCTGTGAGACTGCCTTCATGGGAATTAAATAATACAGTACGTTGCCTGTAGTTATACTCTAACAATATGATCATTAAAACGACCCCAGTTTCTCTTTCCTGTGGATCATGTTTCCATCTCATCCTCTTTGTTTGGATCAAATTGGTGAGATTTCAGTGCTGCTTTTCATTCAGGGTGATTAAAAAGAGCAGAATCACTCTTCCAAAGTGAATTTCAAGGACAAAATCTCAACTGACGTTTAACTTGAAGGGAAAAGACTTGAGAGATTCCTGCAGATTTGGGGACAAAAGTCTCTGTAGTTTTAAATTTTATTATTTTTTTGCCATTCTAGCTTCAAGGATGAAGGATTTGTATTTTTTTTCATGCCATGACCATGTTTGTTATATGCAGCTTCCTTTTAAGTCTGAAAGAGGTCAGCTTAAATACACAGGATGAAAAAGAAGCGAAGCGGCTGAAATAGCTGCAGATGGGGTGTTTGGGACAGGGCTGACTTTAAGCAGCAGGAAGCATCAGTTGCAGCAGTAAAGCTCCCAGGGAAAATATGCCAGCAATTTGTCTTTTATAACCTTGTGCATAACCATTGGGTGGGAGATTTTATACACAGCAGCCCTCTGTTCTTCCTTAAGTCAATCTAGCAACGCGAGATGCTACAAATCTTGCCTTTTTTCTGATGCACAGTGGCAGAAGCGTGTTCCTTCAGCTTGTAAGTGTTCCACATGGGGATCTGAAACCTTCCTGGTGGAGCAGGGAGAGAGAAGGGAAGGGAAGTGTTTAATTCTCTGTCTTGTGGCCGTTGTGATCTTTGGTGAGGGGAAGGGAACTGCAGTGTTTAGTTCTCCCTCTTCTCTTGTGCTCTTTGGTTTTGAATTAACTAACTGTGTTCTCCGAAGAAAGGCTTGTCTGATGCCCGCCCACCTTTCTGTTAGACACTTGGGGCTGCTCAGAATGCTTTTGTCTGAAGCTAAAGCAGTATTTTATGGAAGAAATACAGACTGATATTTATATAATGTCTGTTTGTCCCAAAGAAACCCGAGGCATCTAGAAATTGTAGGTAGGACTCCCGATGGCTGTAAGCACACACGCCGGTCCTCAACAGCAGCCGTGGAACTGGGATCCCAAACAGCATTTTAAGACAGAAAGTAAAGCAGCCCAGCTGTAACCACAGGAGGAAACTTCAGTAGAGAGAATGAAATCAGCCAAGTTAGAAATTGGCTAAGACCCTGTGCTTTAAATCTTCTAACTCTGTTGACAGTGCTATAGGATTAATAATGTCCACGGACCGCTTGATGCCTGAACTTCAGCTGAGGAATGACACCTCCTGTGTCCCTGTAGCGTGTTACGGGCCAACGGTTCTGCAGTGACTCCAGAGGAAGCCTGGATTGTTTTATCCTTCCATCCCACTCCCTGCGGCGCCTCGGGGAGGTTTGGAGGTGTCCCATCCAAGTCCTGGATTGCAACATCCCTGTGGAACACTAAGGATCTGGCAGGTTCACTGCAGCAGGAGGCACAGCCGCAGGGAGTGACCTTCCTTTGGGTTGGGCGCTGCACTTTTACGCTGACCTCTGCAAACCCTGGCAGAATGATTTTCTGTATCTGGCAGAATGTTTTCTTTTTAACTGAATCAAATACAGCATTAAGCAGTTCTTCTGTCAATTTTATGATCTCGGCATCCGTCAATAGAAAGTGACTTAATGGGTGACTCTGATCCGCTCATGGGTGTTCATGTTTTTCTTTGCCTGTAAATGTTAGACAGATTTTTCTGCTAAAACATTGATGGGATTTTTAATTTTGGGCCTATTCGGGGGCCTTTAAGGTGTCTAAACTGAATATCCAGATCACTGGTTGGTTTTTGTTATCTTGGCTTACCACACTGTTGTGGGGAGGGAGAGAAAACTGGCTGTCGAAGCAGCTGGTGCCTTAGGAGCAAAAATCCAGTAACGTTGGTGTGACCCTCTGGAAAGCAGCGTAAGAGAATTGGGTGGTGCCTTAGGAGCAAAAATCCAGTAACGTTGGTGTGACCCTCTGGAAAGCAGCGTAAGAGATTCCCCGTGTTCCCTGTGTGTGTCCCTGCAGGCACTGAGGTTACAGTGGGCATGAATTGGAGCCACCGTGAACAAACACTGTCCCTGCAGCATCAGAAAATAAGTATCTGTTTGTGATCGGGGTCTATTTCGGATACTGCAGGGAGTTCACATTGCCTGCCTACTTCTGTTGGATAGTTATAATATTTTAAAGAAAACAAGTATATGTGAGATAATTTCCGGTGTGGTAAGCCACAGTTATTTACTTATTCTGGATGCCTGCCAGGAGGCAATATACCTCATCTTGACGGAAATGATAGGCATTTGATGTGAATTTCCCGACATAGGAGCTCTTTTTTTAATTATTTATTTAATATTCGGAGAGCCTCATATACAAACCTTCTGAAGTCTGAAGAATTTTCCCAAAGCCCCCTGAAAATGTTTGCGTGATTTATTTGCCTTCTTTATAAAAATAAACATTGGGGTTACTTCACTGCATTTTCTTGCGGAACAGATTTGGAGGCTTAAATGTGACACAATGTGTGTGAGAAGACCACGTTGCTGTATCTAAGATGTGATCTGTGCTTAAACTGGTGTTTTAAATAAATAAGATCGTGTCATTGTGGTATAGGAGTGGTATGTTCTGATTTAGCTGGTCAATTCAACAAAGCAGAGCAAAGCATTTTCCTGACTGCGTTATGTCTTTGTACTCACGTTGCTTTGAAAGCAAATTCAGATTAAACGTTCTCACCTTGAGGAGCCTCCAGCAGCTCCAAGGAGCTCTTCTGCTTTGCCTGGTGAAACTCTGCACCTCAAGAAAGTTCCAGAGAAAAAGCAGTTTAGAAGCCTGGGCTTCTGGGCTTAATCCTATTCCCACTGGAAATCCTCTCAGCATTCAGATTAGCTTTGTCTTTGGTAGGGATTAAATTTGCAGAGAATCTCAATTTTTCGTGCTAAGACAGCTCCTGTCTAGAAAAAGCTTTTAATTGCAAATAGCATGAGGCTTTTAATATGGAATAGTGGCATTCTTTTCTTATGACAACCAATTTATGTATTTTTGCCAGGGCTCGTGAGTGCTATGTTGTAGTTAGTCCTGTGAAACACTAATAAAAAATGACAATTAGTTAATTGATCCATAACCTCTGCCTGGGGTAAGAGTGACCTTTGCTGGGCAGGTTGGCAGTAAAGTGGGAAGGTGCAGCTTCTTAATATAGTGTCACAGATCTGGCTTCTTAAAGGTGAAAGCCAAACTTTGTTGGATGTTAAGATTAATGTTTTTTATCCTTGCAGGAACTGATGATAGAATCTGGAAATAGATAAGCTACATATTTCTCCGGTGTATTATATACACGGGATAGCTTACTAACATTATAGTGCTTTTTCAAAATCATATTCTGCCTTTGACAGGTGCCATGATGCCAGATTTCAAAATCTGAGTAACGCACAGCTTTCATGATTGTATTTTTCACCCCTCTCTCTTCTCTCTTCCCTTTTCCAGCAATATACAATTACGATGCTGTCCAAGATGTGGAGCTCTCCTTGCAAGTCGGCGATACCGTTCACATTTTGGAGATGTATGAAGGTAGGTTGCAGATCTTCCAAGCACTTCACAGTGAATTTTAAAAGTAAATATAACAAGTCAAGATTTTTTTTTTTTTTAAAATACAAATTTCAGGTCTAGAATTTCAACTTCAGATATTCGCAAAAGCACAACGCATGCTATGTCATGTTTATTTTTACTTTACTTTTAAAACTGTATTAAAAATGCATGAAACACAGAAGCTGCAATCGTATCTACACTGTTCCTGGCAGAGGTTTGTCAAGGTAAGTTTTCAGTAGTGTCTCAAGGCAGAACTGGAAGAGAAAGAAACACTTCTGGCTGTTTATTTCTGTTTTCACACCACAGCTCTTTACCTTGGTTCTTCCTCATGCCAGGCCAAGCGCGTGTATAATCATGTAATGAACTGATCCAACTGGAAAATAATAATATTTTTTTTAAAAGTAGCTTTTAACCTGCATTAGTTCTTTGATCTGAGACGACAGAGGCTGTGGATGAAAGAAAAGGAGAGAGCAGGCCTAATTGTTTCAGAAGTAACATTGGTTTAAGCAGTAATACCATGAACTGGCATCGTATGCTTTACAAGCCTCCAGTTATAGAGCTTCCATGCCCTTTTTAGGCTGTTTCTCCCAGTACTTTACTGGGAAGGTTTTTAATAATATGTACCTTAATGTAAAACATCTTGCAGAAAGGAAGACAAAATTCCTATTTTAAACAAGATGAAAATTACACTTGTCTGGTCCATATCTACTTATTGAACTAGACTGTTTAATGAAGATTTCAATATTAAGAATGGAACATGGCCATTTAGTTATTTTAAAGAGTGTAGTAGTCACTGCTTCATTTGGGAGGCTCTCCAAAATCTAAATACTTGTTCCAAAATATAAATTCAATCATTTTCACAAGCAGCATCAGCTTGAAAAAGACACAGCATAAAAAAAACCTCTTTGGTGTCTGTGCTGGGAAGGGTGAGCTGCTGCTTTAGTAATTTCTTCTTAGTCAATTGTTCTCTTTCCACTTCTCTCTGCCCTTGACACTGGACACAGGCAGCCAGTTCCTACGTGGCAAAGCAGATTATGGTGCTCATGTGTGTTTTTACACTGATGTGTGTGATAGTGGTGAGTGGTTTTGGCGGAGGGAGAGAGAGGGGGAGAAATAGGAAAAAAATCCTGTAATAGCACTGATTTATGAACTGAGGAAGACACAAGGAAGAGGGAGTGTCATTACACTGATGTGTGTGATAGTGGTGAGTGGATTTGGCAGAGGGAGAGAGAGAAAGGGAAAAATAGGAAAAAATCCTGTAATAGTACTGATTTATGAACTGAGGAAGACACAAGGAAGAGGGAGTGTCAGGGGTGAGAATTGCCCTCATGAAGATGAAAGTTGGGGTGTTTCTTTCTCTTTTTTTTAAAGCAACATCATTGTTTGGTCCTACTTGGTCTGTAATCAGCTGTTTAAGAGAGACAGTCAAGAATAGGAAGTGAATACCCAAATGGCATCCCTTTCTTACCTGAAATGTCCCAGTTTGGAACCTCAGCCTGAGAGGATTGATTGTAAATTGTTTGGGAAAGTGAACGTGTTTTGATTGTTCTCATACACTGAGCCATCAGCGTGGCATCCTAGTTTGTGGCTGAGGCACCTAGGAGTTACTGCAGCACAACTCAGTACTTCTGGAAAGAGCAGCCCAAAATTCAGGCTAGACATTGTGAATCTGAAGGAAAAGATGCAGATCGTCTCTGAGGTGGTAACCCTGCTGCAGGTCAGGTCCTGCTTCTCATAAATTCATTCTAAAAGCTCCAAGTTCTGATATTTTTTTCTGCTTGGGAGGAAATTCTGATGTCTTATTCTATCTATTTTTCTTTTGGGACATCAGCTTTCAGCGTCGTTTCCAGACATCTGTGGGCTGTGTTTTTGAGAATCAGTGTTCTCACAAGAAGCCTTTTCTGTTTCTTCTCATGCTAATGATGTATACTTACAAATACAGCTCCAGTCTGATAAAAGTGTGGTTTTTGTTCCACTAATCACGGTTCTTATCTGGATACACAAGTCTCAATTTAGAAAAAGGTTCCATTTAACCAGGGCGTTGGCTTTGTGAGAAGAAAGGCTCGGAGATGCCCTGTGAAGTCCTCCTTTCAGTCGGTGTGAGTTATCCCTGCAGCTCCTGGCAGAGGGCGTTCCTTAGGCTATCCCTAACATTCCTTAGGGAATTAAGAGGGAGTTTTTCAGGCTTGTCCAGGGGTTCTCACATAATGGTAACAGCCGCTTGGAAAATCTTACTCCTTGCTGCTGTTCCCTACCTGCACAGGAGCATCTTTGGGTCACCAGAAGGATCTCAGGGCTGTGGTACCACAGTTCGTTTCCCGCTCTGTCAGTCATCTAGAACATGCCTCCTTTTTCCTCCTGGCTGAAGTCAGCAGGTTTTTGTTCCCCAGCCATGTCTGGTGAAGGCTCTCTGTGTTGGAAGCTCTTTGTGTTCCACATCTGGGGCTGTGGCCGGCTCCGCTCCGTCTGTAGGAACTGAAGTGCACGGTTTGTTCCTGGACAAACCTCCTGGCGAGGCAGCAAGGCTGAAGCTTGCGCGGGGTTTTGGTGTTAACAATAAATGTTATCTGACTCTCCACTGGCTGAATAGCTCTGAGACATAACACTGATACAGCTAAGCCACTGGGGAAGGTTTGTGAGGAGCAAAGAGCAATAAAGTGAATTGAAGTGCAAGCCAGAAGGTATGGATGCAGTTTGGTGCTGGCCTCTGTGCTGTGAAAACTCCTCATGTTAAGTGGCTTTGCTGGAGTGTCTTGCAAACTCTGTGGAGTGCCTGAGGTCAGGTGCTGCTGTTATAGTGCCTAATGGCCTCACAAGGAGAGAAAGCACCTTGAAATTGCAAAACCCCTGCTCATTTGTGGTATCGAAGCTATCGAGGCCTGTTGCAAAGGCTTGAAGTCCTTGGAAAGTCAGCCAGATTTGGGGTGAGGCTCTGGCATTGCACTTTTGTTAGAAAACCCTTCTTTTCCCATGCTCCAAACAGATGCTTTGCCTAATGTTTTGTAAGTCCCAGTCACTATGACATGGTTAGGCTGGGCTTGTGAGAAGATAAGGGAGTGATAATGCCATAGATTGTCTGTTCACAGTGCTGGACCGCTGCTTGCCCGTGTCAAGGATTCCTCAAAGGGTGATTGTCCCTGTCAATGGTAGCTTCAACTCGGATGAATTTCACAACATGGAAGTGAAGGTCATCAGAGCCAAAACCACGGACTGAGCAGTTTGAACTAAAGGCTTGAAATATTTCTGGTACAAGGAGAGAAAGCACCTTGAAATTGCAAAACCCCTGCTCATTTGTGGTATCGAAGCTATCGAGGCCTGTTGCAAAGGCTTGAAGTCCTTGGAAAGTCAGCCAGATTTGGGGTGAGGCTCTGGCATTGCACTTTTGTTAGAAAACCCTTCTTTTCCCATGCTCCAAACAGATGCTTTGCCTAATGTTTTGTAAGTCCCAGTCACTATGACATGGTTAGGCTGGGCTTGTGAGAAGATAAGGGAGTGATAATGCCATAGATTGTCTGTTCACAGTGCTGGACCGCTGCTTGCCCGTGTCAAGGATTCCTCAAAGGGTGATTGTCCCTGTCAATGGTAGCTTCAACTCGGATGAATTTCACAACATGGAAGTGAAGGTCATCAGAGCCAAAACCACGGACTGAGCAGTTTGAACTAAAGGCTTGAAATATTTCTGGTACAAGCTACGACGTGCTGGTGTCCAACGCACTGTAAATCTGTATAGGAACAACCCGAGAGCTGTTCCCTGTTGGGTTGGGGAACTCCACGGTCTAGATGGTGCAGTGTTTCCTTCAGTCAGGAAAATGAAGATTGTGGCATCCTGTGTCTTTGTCATTCTGCCCTTAGGGCCAGTTGTAAGCGGGGTTTGCACTGTAGATAGGGTCAAAATTTGCATATTCAGTGTTTTACTTTGATAACAACATTGCAATTTCTTGGTTGGACTTCAAGCATGCTTTGGAACACCATGGTGTATCATTATACATAAAGATCTGGAGGATACCAGTTTCCTTAGACTTACCTGCCCTTTAAAACAAACACACAAATACCCTCTGCAAAGTGTGATTCTGTTAGTTTAGGTGTCTCAATCATAATAGCCGCGTGTAAACCACAAAGCAAGGTATTTTTTTCCTCCACACAAATACCCTCTGCAAAGTGTGATTCTGTTAGTTTAGGTGTCTCGATCATGATAGACGTGTGTAAACCACAAAGCAAGGTATTTTTCTTCCTCCTTTCTCTGGTTGCAGAAGGGCATGAAGTCTTTGTATAAAATTACTTTTTCCACTTGATAGTAAAATAAGCAGCGTGGGCTTATCCTGTTGTTTGCCAAATATTGTCAAGACTGGGCATAAGCTGCAAAATCCAAGAAAAGAAGGAAACTTGCCGTGTCCAATACTTTGAAGGCTGCTTCAGTGCAGGATTTACTCACCCTCTGGGAACCTGTCCTTGAGGAGCGAGCTGGGGAGGAGACATTTCTGTTGAGGGGAATCTTTTCTAATCTGCAGTATATATTATTCTTTCACACAAGCTGTGGGAAATAGCCATGTTGTGGGTAGAAGGAATGTTTGCCCATGTACAGTGATTCCAATCAGTGTCTTCTCCTGATGCACAGAGGTTTACATTGAATTGGTTCCTAGTTTCAGTATTTATCTTGCCTCTGCCCTCTGTAGGTAAATAAAGCAATCCCTTGTTTTATTTTGGTGCAGCACAGCAGTGTATGTTGTGGTACTGAGAGCCCGGACGCTGCAGTGGAAGAGGAACAAAGACTTTGTGGTTAAGCACGTGGTGTGGGATTGCATCACTGCCTATAACTTCTAGGTGTCTAAACTATTGTAATTTGAGTAATTTTTTCTTAGATTTTCTCACCTTTGACGTACTGCATAAAATCCATTTAACGAAAGGTCAAACTGAGGATCTGTGTTTCCTTAAAAAAAAAAAACAATCCAAAAAACCAAAACCAACCCTTTGTCATATTTCTTTGCAAGACTCAGTCCGCTCTCCTTGTGTTCTTAATCAGATTGCAGTTTGAAAGTATCTTACAGTAGTTGAAATTTGCCATGTCATCTTCAATTGAAAAGCCTTTCTCCATTTAGCACATCTCTGCTTGGAGAAGATACTCAAGAGAAACGCTTAAATAGTCCATCATTCCTCTGAAGCTTTAAGCAGATCTTTTTTTCTTTAAAAAAAGAAATCAAGTAATCAATTGACCACAGCCCAAAGCTTTTGTTCCTTTTAAAATGATGAGTAAGATTATTGAAAACTGGAGCAGGATTCTGAAAAAACTGCATGAGATGCCTGATGAATAGTTTTGCATAATAATGTACAACGTACTTTTATGCAATGATTGCAAAATATTTTACAGGAATATGGTTAATGCCAAGAAGTCATTTTAAAGATGAGGAAGCTGTGGTATAGAAAGGCTGAGAGACTGTCTAATGGAATTGAAGTCACTGGGAAAATTACTCTTGTTAAATTCCCTGAGCTTTGTATCACACCCTAAAGAATTTGTAGTGACCATTCAATTAATTACAACTTTGGATAAAAATAGAACCTAAATCTTCTCATCCCTAATCCAGTACCTTATCCATTGGTCCATGATCAATGGATAATCCTGTCTTCATCCTGGGGAAGGAATGGAATTTCTTCTTTCCTCCGAATTTACTGCTGGAATATTGGGGATTATGTGGTGAAGTTGATTCATGTTCTCGTTGCTTGAGAAAGGGGTGAAAACTATGCTTTATAAAAATCAAAAAGACCAAACACAACCCCCTCCACGCCCTCCCATACAACAAAACAAAAAACTCATCCTAAGCTGTAATTTATTGTTGAGGGGGGTTCAGATCTATGGTTCTTTATGGAACCTTTTTTTGCTAAGTATATAAATCTATTGGGGGAAAAAAAAAACAAAAAGAAAAATGACAAAAAACCCAAACAGAAAAGCCTCCCGTCCTCTCTTCTTTGCCTGATTATTCCTTTAAATCCCTTTGCCTTCTTGATGCTGCTCCCTCTGCCCCTCGGCTGAACATAATCATCTTGGATCCGCGATGTTGTCTGTCCCCATAGCTCTGGACATCATTCGTGTCCAGACCATAATCTGCACTCTCAATGTTTGCTAAGATGTAGGAGCAGTGTTTGTCGTTTCAATGCAAGTAGAACCTTAGGAAAAGAGTCAAAAAATGGTGCTTTAGGAACATATTTAATTGCGAGTTGGGGTCACAGAGTGTCTTGGCATTTGGAGTGATGTTTTTAGTGGCCAAGTTAGTGAGAGAGTGTGAGTCTGCATCCTGTCCCAGAGTGATACAAGGGATGTTGTCTCTGCACATCAGCATTTAAAACAGAGCAAATTATTCTTCTGAAATGTTTAGTTTGTAATTTCCAGTGCAGTAACTTCAGGAGGACTGAAGGCGATGGAAGCTGTTGCTTATGGCAAGGGACAGGCAGCCAGGGAAGGAGTGTTCATCTTGCCCAGCTCTTGCACAGCTGAGACCAATGATGGAGGTGGGAGTGGAGAGATGGAGAAAACCCCTTCCTCTGACTCAGTTTGGAGGTGGAGGAAGTGACTTTCCACAGCTGTGCTTCTCTCCTGCCTGCTTGTTGAGGCAGGCTCACTTGAGGACAATATGAAATACAGTAGTTTTTTCATACACATGTATTTCAGTGACCTTGAAATCAAAATACTGGTCAAACCCAGGTGCTGAAGAGAGAAGAAATGTCCATTAACAGTGAAACATGCTTCTGAGTCTGGGGGCTCACGGTTATTACTTCCTATCTTATACTGTACTAGATCTTGTCAAGATAATATTGAGAAACAATATCTGTACCAGGGCAGGCAGTTCGGAGCTGGGGGTTTTTTTTGCCTTATCTAATAAAACATTCTCTTTTGGCCTTCCTTTGAAGGCTTTAGATTGAGTCACAGGAAAAAATAAAGAATCTACACGAGGTGGAATTTAAGCATGATCTCTAAGATGATTTGAATGAAAATGCGCTTCATAGAAATGAAAATTTTAAAGGAGTGGGTTGGAGTTGGACTTGGGACACTTGAGTCTGTGTCTTGCTGCCAGATCCGTGACCTTGGGCTGGTGGTTCCACACACACCTCTGTGTCTCTGCCCTGGCTGTCAAATGGGCATAGCAGAGTTCTGTGCTGTGGGACTTGTGAGGTTTATGGGAGAAGGGTTGTGACTTTCAGAATGTGTACCAGGGAGTGGTCTGCTTTGCCCTTGAGCCCTCCCAGTACAACCCTAAGGGATGTGGGGGTGTCAGTTCATGGTGGGAAGAGCCCCCCTTCTCCCTGCTCCTCAGACCCGAGCCTCCTGCAAACAGGGCAGAAGTGTCTGCGCAGCAGCAGATCTCAAATGAGCAAGATCAATAGATTTATGTTGTAAAAATGTGGTGAGAATGACAATGTGTATTTAATTGCTGTGGACAGGAAAAAAATATTAATTTTTTTTGTTTCCCTTTGCCAGGCTGGTACCGAGGATACACACTCCGAAATAAATCTAAAAAGGTATGACCTCACTTTTTTCAGTAACTAATTCTTATTTCACACCTTGCCAGGCCCCATCCGGTGCTGTAATCTGCTGTGCTTCCGCTGTGTTTCTCCTCTTAATATTGTACAGGTCTCCAGATCCCTGTGTCCTTTGCCTTAGCACTAGAAATAAATGCCCTTGAGCTAAATGTTTCAGAACCATTAATGGGGTACTCCTGCACTGTAAGAGTGTGTAACGTAGTTTGAACTAGCAAAATTGACTCTTGCATATCTGTATACACAAGTTTATTGCTTTATTATTATGGTCTTGGACCCGTGCATGTCCAGCATTAGTTACGTGGGATGGTAAGACTAGAGTTTTGATTTGGCTTGGAAAATACTCCAAAAATTATGCATGCGTGGCCCTCAGCCAGACTTCCTGAGGTTTGTGAAACCCGTCTGAAAACTGCCTGGAAATCTGGTTTCCCAGAGGAATCCTGGCACCTCTCATGTGGTAACATCCTTCACAGTCTCCATTTTTCAGGCGTAAAGGGGAATGAAAAGAAAATTAAAAAAGGATTGCAGCACTCCAAGATTTCTGTTAAATAAAGGAAACTTGGGATTGGTGAATTCTTACAAATGCTGTAACGTGTGAGCTTTTCTAGAGGCCCCCAAGCCCAGGGCAACTCGGCAAATGACTCCAAGAATGTTTCATAGCCAGGGAAATGAGTTTGCAAGAGTTTACAACATTTCATACAGGAAGATAAGTGTCATTAGAGTAAAACAAAGAATTGACTTCTCTGAGGTGCTGATATCAAATATAGTGCTCCAGGAGGCAACCTGATTCTCCTTATTGTCTTTTTACCCTGTGATACTGGGACTGGTGGATCTTACACCTTTCTGTTCCAGGTAAACAGTAAACACCAGTCACAGTTACTGTGCTGCTGCTCATGCTCTTTACCCCTTCCCTCTGCTTTCTGTTGAATGCGTTTTTGTTACGCCACATCCTATGGTGTGATTTATTTTATTTCTGTATTTATTTTCAGGGCATTTTCCCAGAAACATATATCCATTTAAAAGAGGCGATCGTGAAGGACCGGGGGTAGGTTGGCACTTCTCGAGATGCACTTTTGGTAGCAAAAACAATGCAATGCTGTTTCATTGAAAAACAAACAAAAAAAATGATGCAGAACTTGTGTTTTTCAGAGCATTGCACACACCAAAATGGTTGTAGACATAGGTGCAGGAGAATGGGATTTGCAAAAATGAGCAAGCTCTGCTAGAGAAGTTAGTAGCGAGGCAGGTCAATCAAGTTCCGTCTCGCTCCTCTGGGGACTCCTGCAAGTCGTAACAGACTCCCGCTCGCAGCCAAGTAGCCAGCAGGAGTGTGGATTCCTTCCTGTCTTGGAAAGCATTTAAGGAAATGACTCCTCGTTTGATTTTTCAAGCTGATTCTGTGATCGTTATAGTGAGAGAAAAACAGCAGTTGCAAAGGAAGACACTTTAGAAAGTACTTCTTTTTTTTCTTTTTTTTTAAATAACTGTAGCCAAGTTACCGTTGCAAGTGGTGATTCTTCCAAACTTAATTCCTGTCTATTGAGCATGTTTCTGGAACGGATCCATTGAGAAGAACAAGACTGAAACTCGAAACATGTTTGCATTAAAAATGGATGATGAATGTGCGTGTATGTGTTGCGGAACCAATCGAACCACTTAAGAATCTTGGCATCGTGTGTGAGTGAATGGTGTGAATATCAAGCCCTCTGAAATCTCCATTTACATATTTATCACAAAAGGATGTTCTACTACTCGGTTTTAATCTGGAGTGTAAACCTTTCTTCTGTTTTCTCCTTTTTTCTCTAGGCAACATGAAACAGTGATTCCAAGTGAACTGCCCCTTGGACAAGAACTCACTTCTACCCTGAGGGAGTGGGCAGTTATCTGGCACAAGTTATATGTGGTAAGTTTTCTTCAGTGGTTGGTATTTTATGAAATGACCCAAAATAAGATGAGACTGGGCTTTTTGCGTTTTCTCCAGTGGTTGGTATTTTATGAAATGACCCAAGATAAGACGAGACTGGGCTTTTTGCAGGGTGCTTTAGGACTTTGAATAGAACGTTATGCAGAATTGTAAAAGTGTCATCGTAGTAAAATTGGTCTTCAGAGAGGTTAAAAATGTTCTGCTCTGCAGAGAACGGGATGTGTGATCACAGACAGGACTGTGGTTTACTCCAGGCTACGGTGTTCACTGTATGTGAATAATGTGATGACACAGCCCTGATGCAGCACAGACTGGCACAAGCCACACTCAGCATCGTGTCAGCTGGTTGGGGCTGGGGCTGAGTCACTGTTCACTCGGCAGATAAGTGTTTTGCTTTGCCTGTCGTGGGCTGTCCTGTGTGAGGGCAAAATCCATCAGCTGTGTCAGAAAGTTGTGCAGGAAACCACAAGGGTGTTTTAACAGAACCTTTAACAGGTGTGAACCCTGGATTGTTTTGAAGTTTTGTAGGTACTTAATAGAAGGGTTGACCCTCACCCCCAAGTGCCTACAGCTCAAATGGGCAAGATGGACAAAGGACGGGAAGAGAATTAAGGCTGGTGTGGTGGGGAAGATTTGATTTCTAAGAAGTCCTATAATATATTTAGTTCTCAGTAGGGAAGGGGAGAGACCTCTCATCTACTAAATCTGTTTAGTAGCCTGGCCCTACACTAGCCAGCTCAGGGAAGTCAGAAGCCAAGGAAATGCATGGAGTTGGTGGTTATGCTGAGGTAGGTGCATTCCTGCTGAGAGACACAACTGGAGTTCACAATGAATTGCTTTCGAAGGTGATTATTAAGGCACATTAAAAAGAGTCAAACTTGATTTTTCTTTGGTTAGTAGCGAGTTCTCCCTGCATAATGTGCGCTTGGAGACTTTAATTTAGATGAGGGAATGGTTTTAAATTAGCTCTAGCCATTGGGTTTATCCAGAGCAAGCACTCCTATTGAAAATTCCACCAGGCCACAAGTACGTTTTGTTTGTGCACCACGAAACCACAAGAATTTGTTCCACCCTCTTAATTTAATGAGAAGTCGTATGTGACGTTATTACTGTGTGAAAAGAGAGTTTTGTTCCTGGCTCTTTTTTTTTTTTTTCTGATTAACTTTAGGATCATAGCCTCAGAATCCATTTTTCTTAAGAGCAGAAATCTTTCATGTCCCTGTGCTTAACCAACATAAGTCTTAAAATAGTCTTGGAAAATGTTGTGGTTTGAAATGGATTTGAGTTTATTTTATTTTCCCCTGCAGTATATATAAAAAGAAAAAAAAAGAAGCACTAAAGGAGGAAGGAGATATTTGAGGAGAAAAAGGAAATACAGGGGATTTTTTTTCTTTGGCAGCATTTCATTTCACTTCTTTAATTTCTGCGTTTTTGAGCAAGCTTTGCACCAGTGGGTATGTCTCCACTGGAAAATAAATATTAAAATAGGTGAGAGTTTTTAACTTCATTTAGTTAATAGGAGTTAGCTGATGTAAACAGCTGTAGAGATTAACAGCTTTACCTCAAATTCACCTCTGTCAAATTCAGATATGCTCTGTATTTCCCTGAAAGCTAAAGCAAGTTGCCTTCTCTTTGCAATTACATGAACACAAGTTAAGAACATACTTTTTCCTTTGTTTACTAAATATGTCTGTAATATCTTCCCGTTAGGAACTGAAATACTCATCTAGTCTCCATCAGCCCCTCCGCGCTCCCCAGATCAAAAAGAGAGATGGCTCTTTATAACTCCCTTTGGATTTGTGTTCTTGGGGGGGTGAACCACGAGCAGTTTGTATCGTTGGTGTTCTTTGCAGAGACCAGAAGGGGGAAATAATTGAGCTGAGTCTCTCTCTCTGCTGTTGGGGCTCATGGTTAAACATTAACAGCTTCCATCCAGAGAGCTGGGGCTGCTCGGCTGCTGCCTGAACAGACCAGCACTACCCCATTGGCCACGTCCCTCTGGCTGTTGGGCAAGTCGTAGTCAAAAACCTCTTGACACTCATTTTGGAGCTGCGTAACCATAAACTTTGCCCCAGTAGATTAAAGTTTAATGTCCTTTGATTTGCGGCACTTCCCTCTGAAAATGAGCTGCACTTGACTCTGGGTACAATGAGGATTGTCCTCGTGGCTGGGTGACTGCGCAGTGGCACAGAGAGGATGGGGCCAGGGTGCCCTTTTGAATGGTACAAACGGAATAGCTCACACTTTGAAAGGTTTAATTGCTTATCTCAGCACATATTGCTACAAATACAGTAGGGTAGCACATAGGTATTCCCTTTTTAATTACAGCGCCAGCCTTGGAGCCTGAAACTATAGGAAGAAGTGTATAGGTGTGTGACTAATTTTATTAGGGTGGAACCAGTAAGTAGCACGAGAAGTATTTTCATTAATTAAAGATGATAACAGTAGAAATGGCAGGAGGAAGCTCTTTACAAAGCAGCTTTACATGTTCTGTTCAGTCAGTGCTTTATAATTAGAGATGAAAATGCAAGGGCTGTAGCAAACTCGAGCAAGTACCTGGGCAGATTGGGGAGAGGGTGCCTGGGAAACCAGATGTGGTATTTTTATTGCATTTTTTGGACAACCTCTTGCACGTTAGATTCTGAGCAACCACTGCTGGGGGAGCGCTTAAAAGCGTGGGATGAGTCCAGACTGCGTGGCATTAAGTTCTGTACAAATGTAAACAGAAGTGAGTACTCTGAAGAGCAGGTAATCTTCAGCCTTTTTTGCTGCCAGACACCAGCCAGAGGGTTATTGTGTTTCCCCAGAGCTGCTCTGATTTCCATGGAACTCTTTGTCTGGAGATGGCACACGGACATGGCAATCCCTGCACAAATTACCAGTGGGTAGAATAGGAACCTTGAAATATAATATGCGTATTAACAGGGAAGCAGCGTATCCCAGATGTTGCTGCGTTGTGTTGCTATTCCTTTTTTTAATATAATGGGTTTTCAGTGTATGACGGGACAGGATAAGAGAGCAGGCAGCCAAGAAAATGAGTCCACAGACAATTAGTGTTCTGGCTTTAAAACATAGTTGCTAACACTGTCAATGGTGGTGAGGGCAGAGATTCCAATTACCCAGGTTGCCCATGTTGTTAATGTTATATTCTGGTGACAGGAGGCCTTTTTTATATGTAGCAAAGAGGCTGAAGAGTTCTTTAGGCTGGTGAAAGCTCTAGGAGGAACAGACATGAGATCAACATGGGCTTCAGTGTTGATCATCTGTCATTATTTGTGTTTTGGTATCACCTTTAGATTTTGAAAAGCAACTAAAGCTTTGGCCTCAGAGTCATACAATCTAAATAGGCAAAACATATGGGGAATGCATAAAAAATGTCACATTCTGAGAGTGGCAAAGGTAAGGAAAAAGAGCCTTTGTCTATTAGGTTGGCATTCCTGTCTCAATCTGCCAGAACACAGTTGTGGTCATTTAACATCATCCCTCTGTCCTGTATATAAAAAGCACCCATTGCAGCAGTTTCAGTGCTGGAAAACACCAGGGGTCTATCTTTTGTCTGTGAGGTTTTTCTGAAATAATGTCCTGAGGAGATGGTGAAGACCCCAAATCTTGAGATGCTTAAACCTTGGCAGTGCAAGGTACTGGAGAATTTGTTCTGTGTGTCTAATCATGTAGTCTCGGTGCCAGATTCTCAGATATTTTTAGTTAAATACAACTTATGTGGTAGATTCAGTTGAGTGCTTTTCAGAAACCTTACTAAGCTCATCGTTTTCAGGCTATCACTAGTTTAAGATTGTCCCTTTTTTCCCTGTAGGATAACAAGTCAACGCAGTTTCGGCACGTCCAACAGTTGACTTACAGCCTGATCGAATGGCGGTCACAGATCCTGTCTGGGACACTTCCCAAGGATGAGCTCACTGAGCTGAAGAAGAAAGTCACTGCTAAGATTGACTACGGCAACAGGTAAACCCCAAACCACGTCCTGAAGGCAGGAGAGAATCCCAAATCCCAGTAAAGGCTCTAGGTGGCTATTAGTACAAAATGGTGTAAATGACACTGTAGAGAGGTTGGTGCTGGTCTCTTCTCACAGGTAATTAACAATAGAACGAGAGGCAACAGCTTCAAGCTCCAACAGGGGAGGTTTAGATTGAACATTAGGAAGGAATTTTCCACTGAAAGAGTGGTCGGGCATTGGAACAGGCTGCCCAGGGAGGGGGTGGAGTCCCCATCCCTGGCTGTGTTTAAGGGCCGTTTAGATGCAGTGCTGAGGGACATGGTGTAGGGGAGGACTTTGTAGAGTAGGGGAGATGGTTGGACTCGATGATCCCAAGGGTCTCTTCCAACCTCAATGATTCTATGATTCTATGATTCTATTCTATGACCAGGTGAGGGGAACATGGCATTAACCTTTATATTTTTCCTTGGGAATGGGATAATTACAGCTTTGTCCCCATCAGAACATGATTTGCCTGGCAGGTGGGCATGTGGCAGTTGGTTCTTCATATGCCAGGAGTCTCTTTGTCTTGGCAGGAAACTTCACCTGTCTTAATTCTGTGGAAATGCTGGCACATGATTGTATTTCCCATGGAGCACAATTCATTTTTATATTTTTCCTTGGGAATGGGATAATTACAGCTTTGTCCCCATCAGAACATGATTTGCCTGGCAGGTGGGCATGTGGCAGTTGGTTCTTCATATGCCAGGAGTCTCTTTGTCTTGGCAGGAAACTTCACCTGTCTTAATTCTGTGGAAATGCTGGCACACGATCTTATTCCCATGGAGCACAATTCGTGCCTGGCTGGCTGGAGCCAGGACTTGGATGCTGGTTATGAACTAAACTGCTTTATCAGCAACTGAGTAATATAATTCTACAGGCCACCAAAACTCCACTTTTCATTGGTTTGTACAGAACAGGGATTGTCTCCAGAACTCGTTTATCTGCCTGTCAGACTTGATTCAGGTCAAATAAGTCAATTAAGAAGAAAGCTTATGGCAAAGAATAATAATTAGCCACAATCCATAAGCCTGATAGATATACATACCTTCAAAAAATACCTTTAAGTGAGAACAAAGAAGATGTCATCTTAGACTTAAGTTACCTGACTAATTGTTCTTCCCTTTAATGGGGAAGAAATGAGGAGTATTTTGGGACAGGAAAACCAGTGATGTGGTTATTGCAAGGAATGGAGTTGGGATGCAATGGTTGTCCAGTGCAATCCACAGTTTGATCTGTGGTTTGTGCTCTTTCAGTCACCTTTTGCTTCGTAAATATTGTGTTGCTTCTTTTGTCCTCGTGACTTTCATGCTGCTCAGGATCCTGGGTTTGGACCTGGTTGTACGAGATGACAATGGGAACATCTTGGACCCAGATGAAACCAGCACAATCTCTCTCTTCAAGTCCCATGAAACTGCATCCAAAAGGATTGATGAAAGAATCCAGGAGGAGAAGGTACCTCTCGTGTTGCTGGCTTTTTCCTCTTCAAGTAACTAATACCCACTGGTTTGGTTTTTTTTTTTAATGGGGGTACTCTCCTTGGCTTTTTCCTCTTCGAGTAACTAATACCCACTGGTTTGGTTTTTTTTTTAATGGGGGTACTCTCCTTTCCAGTCCCTGCAACAGAATTTGGACCTCCGAGGGCAGCCAATATTCAACACAACACATACATACAGCCTGTATGTAAACTTCAAGAATTTTGTCTGCAATATTGGAGAAGATGCAGAGCTGTTAATGAGTCTCTATGATCCTGATCTCTCCAAATTCATCAGGTAGGAATTTTTGTTGGTACAGAAGCAATTTAGTCATCAAGGGGGTCATTCTAAAGAAACCAGTAGAGATTACAAAGGAAGATCCAGCAGATAAGTTTTTCGTTTCTGTTGGTTGCTGCCCCAGTGGTGATTTGGAAGGGGGCTTATTTAATTTCAGATGAGATAGGGAGTCAAGGTTCTGAGCCTGTGTGCTCCCCCTCTTAAAGCTGGGTATTTCTGTGATACATTAGTCAAAATCCCAGAATGTCTTTGTGTTGCTAAATTTCCCCACTGTTGTCACTTGATTTGATGCATTCGATTAATTGCTCCCTGTTAAATCATGTAGATGTGTGATATTTGCTGTCAAGTCAGTGCAAGTTCACACCTAAGAGTTGGGCATCTTGTACTGGTAGGAGAAGGTATGAGGAACTTTGTCAAGGAAGCCTGGACGTGTTGGGCACCCTCTGTCTCCATCATTGCCCTTATCCCGTGTGGACACACCGCTGGAATTCTTTAGGGAAGAGATTGAGAGTACTCATCCCCATCAGGGCTGCCTTCTGCTGCCACTGAAATGAGGCACTTCAGAATCACTTTGTGATAGAAGATTTTGGCAGAATTTTTTAAATATTCCTGAAAGATCAAAATGCTTTTGCCCAAGTAATGGGAACGTCAGGTGCTGATTTGTTTAATTATTTTTTTCCTCTTCCTTTGTTTGCAGTGAAAATTACCTGGTTCGTTGGGGCAGTAATGGGATGCCTAAAGAAATTGAGAAACTAAATAATCTTCAAGCAGTTTTTACTGTAAGTTATTGTATTTATATCCTGGAATTTCTTCCCCTTGCTGCAGGCATCTCGTGTTTTGGGTTCTTTCCCTCTCCTCATGCAGCAGGGAGGGGTCACATGTGGCCTTTTGGGGTGTTTTCCTGGAAAATTCAGATGTTATAGGCAGCCTCAGAGAAATGCTGCTGAAAAGTAATTTTTCAGTCAGTCCAAAGCAGTAGTAAAGGAGTATTATTTTGCAATAATACTGTCAGTGGATGTTGTTCACCCACACGTTTCTGAAAATCCTATTAGGCACTTTCCTGTGGAGCTGAACTGTACCAAAAATCTAGGCTTGAGATCACAGTTGTTTGTTTTTCAGTTCATTGCTTTGATGATCCTTTTCTGTGTTACAGTTTGTTATTTGTAACGAGATGTTAAGAATTGCCCATGAGTGGAATAACTTCTGACAAGTAGAAAAGGTGGCACAAACTGCCCGCCTGGTCATCAGGATCTACTACTTTGGCAATTAAATAATTTACTCTCAGTGCTGTAGCTGGGGTGTGTTATCAGAGAGTAATGGGATGTTTAGAAACTGCTGTGTGGAAATTGCTAGTGGTTTTGTAGTTTTAGGTTTGGTTCAAAGAGAACAGGTTTTAGTCATTAAAGGAAATCTTTTCTTATTTAAAATGTGTGTACAATCTAACAAGGAAGTCTTGCTCTTCCTGTGATCTTCTCTTCCGTTCATTAAAGTGGTTTTGTAGTTTTAGGTTTGGTTCAAAGAGAACAGGTTTTAGTCATTAAAGGAAATCTTTTCTTATTTAAAATGTGTGTACAATCTAACAAGGAAGTCTTGCTCTTCCTGTGATCTTCTCTTCCGTTCATTAAACAGATTGATATAACTTGGTTTTAAATGATTTCTAGGATTTAAGCAGTTCTGACTTGATCAGACCGAAAATCAGCTTGGTGTGTCAGATTGTGCGAGTGGGGCATATGGAGCTGAAAGATGGGAAGAAACACACCTGTGGGCTCCGGAGGCCCTTTGGTGTGGCAGGTAGGACACTGACACCTTCCATTGATGGGGGACACAGCACGGGACAGTGGGCTACAAACTGGGAAATACATGCTGTGTGTCAGCAAAGCCTCCTGCCCTCCCAGTGTCACCATCTCTGGCTTCCAAAAGGAGAAACACACCTGTGGGCTCCGGAGGCCCTTTGGTGTGGCAGGTAGGACACTGACACCTTCCATTGATGGGGGACACAGCACGGGACAGTGGGCTACAAACTGGGAAATACATGCTGGGTGTCAGCAAAGCCTCCTGCCCTCCCAGCGTCACCATCTCTGGCTCCCAAAGGGAGGTGCTGATGCTGAGCTGCACATAGTACCCCTCTGAGAACTTCTAATGGAAGTTAATTCAGTGAAATTCAGTATATGAAGGTGAAGTATTTAAACTGTTCACTTCATGTTTTGTCACCCCCAAAAAAGATAACACACTGCCATCAGTGCAGTAGATCTTATCAAAGAGCGATTTGCTCCTCATGACTAATGGGATAAAGCTGGAATTTTTAAAGGAGCATGGGTGAATGAGACATCCACTTCCTGTGAGCTCTTGTGAAGGGACTTGCTTGAAATTTGTGGTGGGGAAACAATTTGAAAACAATCAGCATTTGAAATCTAAGTGTAATTTGTTTGCCATGAAATGCCGGAGTCCCAGCTGCTTTTTATCAGAGAGTATATTCACATTCACCACCACAGGCTGACCTGTGCATCAGTGAAAACTTCAAAAAAGTGAAGTTGTGAGTGGTGCTCTCTGTGGCTGTCACCAGTGGTGTTGGCCCCAGAGAAGCAGCTGTTGTTTCCATTCTGGTAGGGGAAAGCTCTCTCTGTGTTCTTCGGCAACTTGGTAAAACTATGTGATGAACTTGTGTTGTTGCAGTGATGGACATAACTGACATCATCCATGGAAAGGTGGACGATGAGGAAAAGCAGCATTTTATTCCATTTCAGCAGTAAGTACTGGACTTCAGAGTTCATCACGTATCTGGCTTATTTAAAGCAGTTGTCCTTTGGAGAAGGACAAATTTGTATGGGAGCCTGGCAGGGTACCAAGGTCTCCACAAATAGATTAGTTTATGGCAGGAGTCAGCTCTTTGAAGGAAAAGATTTTTGTCAGTCCTCTGAAGCCTTTGTTCCTCTTGATTTACATGTCTGTATGACAGGCTAAATTGCTTAGGGAGTTTTGGCAATGCAGCTGAAATTGCTTGGTGCCCATATCATCTGAGGGAAGGAAGAGGAGTGGAGTGGGGTCTGAGGGATGTGACCTTCAAAACTATTAGTGAGTTGAGAGGCAAGATTGTCAGAAACATCTAAGCACAGAGAACACAACTCCTTGTCACTCTTGTGCTGGGTATTGTCTGCCTCTTCACTTTCCAGATCACCTTGTCAGGGTGAGTCACGGGACAATAGGAAAGGGATTTCTCCCTCTTTCTGGGAAAAAAATTCAAGCCCCGATGCATTTTGCATTTCTGTATGGCTCGTTAGACTGGTGTGTTCTGCCTGCTCTCTGCTTGCTTTTTCAGCACATTACAGTTGCTAAAATGAAGCTTGTTTGGGTAGACTCAGCCGTGTTGTTACAGTCCTAAATATAGCGATCCATTTGGTGTAGCCATATGTTATTGCAGGGTATTTTCAGGGGAGATTCTGTGGGGCTTGGGGTTTTTCTTCACGTACCCTTTCAGGGCCTGAAAGGCTGGAAAGAAGGAGGTCTTTTCCTTTGCAGAATTAATATTATTCTGCTACCTTTTTTTTTTCTTTTTTGTCATTTTTCTTCTGTTCTAATGAGGCTGAGTTTAGGTCAAAATCTGGACACCCCTAGAAGGATGGGGAGCCCGTGGAGACATCGCTTTGTATGTGCTTCGGGTCATTATTGGTGGTGTGGGTTCAGGAGTGAAGTTGGGTTCAAGATCCAAAGCTCAATAGTCATGTTTGTGACTGGGGACAAGTTCATCACTGGTGTGATGTCACAGCAGGCGTTAGTTATGTTAATTTATCACTAGTTAATCTACATAGTCTCTTAGGCATAGCTCACCTGAAGAGTGTGGCTATGGTTGCCCTGGAGGCTGCTATTTCAGTGTGATCCAAATGAAATCATGGAGTCTTTAGATCAGTGTTACTTATCCCAAGCCTGAGCTAACGCTGTGATGTATAAAAAGACTTTAAACATATTTCCATTGGGTTTGTGCAGGGGAAGAAGAAAAAAAGATTCCCATGGAATCCTTTAAAAGAAATACTTCTTTGGAAAACAGTCAGCTGTTGGCCAACCCTCTTCTTGCAGAGCACACACTTGATGTTTGTCTGCTTCCCGCTCTCTCTCGTTGTTCCCCTCAGGATTGCCATGGAAACCTACATCAGACAGCGCCAGCTAATCATGTCCCCGCTGATAACTTCCCACGTGATCGGAGAAAACGAGCCCCTCACTTCAGTCTTCAACAAAGTCATCGCTGCGAAGGAAGTGAATCATAAAGGGCAAGGTAGAGCAGCTGGGCAAGAAGCTGGTGTATGAACCTGGTGCTGGGAAGGGCTTACAAAGGAAAATAAGTGGCTTGTGAAAGTCGAGATCAAGGCTTACTGGAGTTTCCAACCTTCCCTGAGCCAAACGGATGGTCTTTGTAATGGTTGTCACCCCAGCACTTTGGGAGCTAAAAAAAAAAAAAAGATAAATGCAGGAGCTGTTCTTAGTTGCATGAAAAGAGCTTCTCTAGGTGATGACTTATTTGCTAGTAATGTAATATTTTTAAGATAAAACTGCTTATATGAACATAAAATATTTCCAAGTGAACATGGCTGGTTGCATATTCTAAATGGATTTAGGTTTAAACTTTGTTATTCAGAATTCTTCTGCTCTTCCTTGTGTGTCTGGCCTTTTCTGAAATACTTGTAGATTCATCCTGGAAAGTTTGTATTTTACTTCAGAGAATCTATTTGCCAAGTAAGGCCTCATTCAGCATTAGGGAGATAGAGAACTGGGCAAGTGAGAACCACCTTGGGATATTTAAGGCGTTGGTGCATGGAGATCACACGAAGAAAGAGCTTTCTGTTAAGAGTAGGCTTAAATTTCATGGTTTTGTACTTTTTTTTCAGTAAACAAGTGTTATCTTTATTTCTTTAGGTCTTTGGGTCTCCCTGAAACTGCTTCCTGGGGATCTAGCACAGGTTCAAAAGGATTTTTCCCACCTTGTGGACAGATCAACTGCTGTGGCTCGCAAAATGGGATTCCCTGAGATAATCCTCCCTGGTAGGTCCCGTCTGCCTGTCCACTTCCATGGGCTGAAAGAGTCAGCTGAAATTCCAGAATTTCTGATATGAACAGATTTATTCTAAAGCTATTTGAAAACTTGTTTTCAGTTTTCTTGAAATTTCCAGCCAATCTTTTATTTTTTGTTAAAGAAGTGAAAACATAAGCTTCATTGAAAAATGATGGCATGTGTACTTTTTAGAAGAAAATTTCTGTGTAGTCAGAGAGACCTTCTTATTGCATATAGGTTTGACCCTGCTCTATTAAATCCATTTGAAGTGGATTTAGCCCTATAGAGCTAAAATGTAATACATTTTTTAAAAGTTACATGAAGGCAGAGATTTATAAAAAGGAGCACTGTACATTTTAAGAGATTTTTTAGTTTGAGATGAATTGGTGTGATTTTGGATGTCATTGTTTACCTGGTATCAGTAAAGGCTGAGAAGAAGATGAGGATAACTCATTAAGTGCTATGAATTTTAGGTGATGTTAGGAACGACATCTATGTGACCCTGATACAAGGGGAGTTTGACAAAGGGAAGAAGAAGACTCCCAAGAACGTCGAAGTCACCATGTCTGTACATGATGAAGATGGAAATCTCCAAGAGGTACGGAGGCCTTTGCAGGAGGTCACAAGGCTGCTGTTTGCTATAGATGATAGTTCCAGTCCATTGGACCTTATTTATCAACTGTAGGCAAGGATTGGGGGATAATGAACAAGAGATGTGATCTCAGTGACCAAATTTGAATGATCACAAATTTGAATGATCATTTTTCTAAATTAAAGATTCGCTCTCATCTGTTAAAGATCCTGTAGAACTTTCAAAGAGGTGACACGCATTGCGTTCCCTTGACTTTGAGTAACTCGGACAGTTACATGCTCTGAAAATTTCTGACCCAAGATACTTCTTGCTTTCATTCTAGACCTTACCTTTTCTTCTCCCCCCTCCCCTTGTCTTTTTGTCCAAAGAAAGCTATCCATCCTGGTGCCGGTTATGAAGGTGTCTCCGAATATAAGTCCGTTGTTTATTATCAAGTCAAGCAACCTTGCTGGTACGAAACTGTAAAGGTAGGAGAGTGTAATTTATAGTCTGCCTTCCTTTGTGTAGAAAACGGAACTAATTTAAAATCAGTAGATGCATCAGTAACAGAATGTCCTGTAAATTGGCTGAAAATAGAGGATGCTGGTGCTGCATTTCTCATTGTACTCTCGTGTGCAGGTGTCCATTGCAATAGAAGAAGTCAGTCGTTGCCATTTAAGGTTCACTTTCCGTCATCGCTCGTCACAGGAATGTAAGTATCAGAAAAGAAGATCTGCAGGAGAACTGTGTTCTTCCTGCTCTCACTGAGATTTTTCTGAGTATCCACCAAAGGTGTAGCACTAACATTTCTACTTGTTTCCAGCGTTGTGGATTTTCTTGCTAGGAAAGAAAAATAATTCAAACTTTTTACAGCCTTAAAAAAAAGGTTTGGTGCTGCCATAATCTAAAACTGAAATTAGATAGGGAGCAACATGTTAGCCCTCTTGAAAGACAATTGTCAATGTTTAGTGCTGCTTTGGCTTCTCAGTGTACGGTGGTGTTTTTCATTTTATTTCAAGGCCTTCACAAAATTCCATGCAAGGCCTGGTGGGCTTCTACTGGCCTTCCTATAGGAGGATTTATAATTAGGTTAATGAAAGGCTAATGAGAAAGTTAGAGCCAGAAGTTTCATCAAACGACTTGAGAGCCGTGAAACAAGATCAATAATGTTGAGACTAAGCCCTTGAAAGACTCTCAAATGAACCTCTCCTCAAGTACCCAGGAGATGCAGTGACAGACTTCCACATCACAAGCAGATTTGCAAAATCCCTACCAAAATATGTGTACAATTATAAATGTCCATCGAGCAGCACAATTAACCACTAAAATTGTGTGGTGAGAGACGCTTCAGAGAGAATGTTTTTCTGTAGCTGGAGATACCTACAAAGTGCCTTGAGATGAGAGGGGAAGAAGAGAGCTCTTTTTATTGTGGATCACAAAGTTTGCAAGCTCCATCACGTTATCGTGTGATGCTATTAAATAAAGAAGAAGCTGCACATAGTTAGAGAGCTGTATTATGGACAATATGGGCATAATTAGCCTTGAGATGAGAGGGGAAGAAGAGAGCTCTCTGTTTATTGTAGATCACAAAGTTTGCGAGCTCCATCACATTATTGTGTGATGCTGTTAAATAAAGAAGCTGCTGCACATAGTTAGAGAGCTGCATTATGGACAATATGGGCATAAATAAGACAATTCCTAATAAAGATTTTTCTTTCTGTTTGCAGCTAGGGATAAGTCTGAGAGAGCTTTTGGCATGGGCTTTGTGAAGCTGATGAATGCAGATGGAACAACACTGCGAGATGGCAAACACAATTTGATTGTTTATAAGGTAGTTTGGGCATTTACAGTCTTCACTTTTGTTTAATTAATCAAAACTCTCTTGGTTGATTTTCTTCATAGTAATGCAAACATCATCATTGCAGAGATTTTTAATAATTTTTCTAGGATAATAGGACAGTAATTTTTATTGCTTTTTTTTAATAAGTTACCCTTAGGTCTGCTTTCACTGATGGGTTTTCTGACTTGGACACAAATCTGGTACATCTTTGTATGTATCTCTATAGAGCATTTTTCCTGTAACGTCATCCACCCAGTCAGCATGAAACAAACAGTCCTGGTGGGCACCTGCTTTGGAGGATCAGAGTGCGATGGAAAAAAAGAGCTGGTGTCTGATCACAGTGAGAGGAAAAAGCTAATTAATTGCAGTAGAGAGCTACAAAGTGAGGGGGGTGGGGGAAAACCCCCCTTGAATCATAGAATAGAGTCACTCTGTAAAAAGCTTAGTTCATTAGCTGTATGGGCAAGTTCTGTTCCCTAAAGTTAGAGACCCAAATGGACAATGTGAGTAAACAATCATAGATGTGGAATGGTGTTTGAAGCCCTCTCAGCTGTCGCTGTGTTGAAGTGTCTGCAGATGAGAACTGCAGGAGGTCATCTGAGGTGTGCTCGGTGTGAGATAACCCTTGTCTTCGCTGCATTCAACCAACAGGGTGATAACAAGAAAATGGAAGATGCTAAATGCTATTTAACTCTTCCTTGTACCAAAACGGAGGTGGAAGAGAAGGAGGCTCCCTCGGGGAAAAATCTGCACCATCTTGCCACCTTCACACCCACTAAAGATAGTACCAAAGACAGCTTCCAAATTGCCACTTTGATCTGCTCCACCAAACTCACCCAGAACGGTAGGTCTTGCGTTAGCAGCACAGCCGTATCCTCCTGTAATATTTGAGGTGAAGAGGGCACATTCTTTATGCCGATTTTTGGCATTGACAGTTTATATGTGTTTTCAGAATCCTTTGTTTAGTGTTAATTATCTTCTTTTCCTCTGCCTGTTAAGAATGTAGCAATTAGAACTGAACTCTTCAGGATGCTGTTGCACGTTAACTCTGCTTTGCTTGCTGCCAGAGTGGTCAAAATGTAGGATGATGTACTTATGTGAATGAAACAGTACACGCTGGTAAATGCTGTGAGATTTCCAGTAGCTCTGGAAGGCTCTGGGTGTAACAGACTCTCTGACTTTGGGGAAGAAGCATGTGAAAATGTCACCAGCTGTGGCTCCATCGAGGTGTAGCTGCTGGGAGATGGGCATGAGCTGTTCAGTCCCAGTTTGAGCTGGGTCAGTTAGCGTAAGGTAAATGCCATACTGGTACATCCAAGTGTGTGAGGATTGAATCTGACTTTCATTATCCCGTTAGATGTGTCCCAGGTCAAGTATGTTTGCATCTTTCTGCCCTCCTGTGTGTAATCACTGTTTCTGAACGCGGCGTTCTTTGTCAAGGCTGTTAAGTTTCACAGATATTCTTACATCAGAAGATAGAAAATTAATTTAGTTTCAGAACACAGATGATTTGTACATATTTCATTAATGTGGAAGTTGTGTGTGAAACCTGCCGGACTCCTTTGAAAGCCTCAACTGTGGTTTGTAACTAAACTCGGGGTCCTGGGATGTCCCAGAACTGTGATAAACAGCTCTGTAGCTTAATGTCATTTATACAAGAGGTTTCAACTCTAACTTTAAGAACCTAAAGTAATCACGAGCTTTAGTAAGAGAAGTCATGTGCTCTAATAAAATTCTGAGCTTGAGATACCTTCTCTTGAGTGAATAAGAAACCTGCAGAATTGTCTACCAAATGCCTTCCGTTATGAAATCACACCAGGGTTTCCATTTGTAGCAAAACTTAACTTTCTTGCCAAGACAAAAGAACCATCTCGAGATTACATTCTGTACATCAACGTGACTTTCCCTTGTGAGCCCATTCTAAAAATAACCTCTAGTGCTTGTTCCGTGTTGTTCTGCAGCCATTAAGTCAGCTGTGTTGTTACAACCTGTTTCTAATTGCTGGTGTTCTGTCCTTGCTAGTTGACCTGTTGGGGCTGTTGAACTGGCGTTCCAACTCCCAGAACATCGCTCACAACCTCAGGAAGCTCATGGAGGTGGAAGGAGGAGAAATTGTAAAGGTATGTGTGGAGATCTGAGTCTCCTCGTTACGTAAACACTTAGGTATGTGCTTGATGTTGACCTTGGAGGGTTGTAATTGTGTTGTGCCCAAAAGCTCTCTCTAAAGGCCAGGAGAGCTCTTCTAACTGCTGAGCTGCAGGAGAACAAAAGGTACACTTTGCCCCAAGAGCTCTTGTTAGTGGAATTCACCAGAATTCCTGAAGTTAAATGTTACCAGGATCCGGGAGATAGCGGTGGCTTTATTTTCCCCTGTGTCCTTATGAAGTACAAGATACAATCAAAGTCTAACTTTTAATTTTCAGTAGTGGCTCTGGGCCTTCTTTGTGAATACGGACTTGCTGTGGATCTAGGAAGAGAGTGCAGCGACAGCCTGAAGACCTTATAGTCAGGGTACCTGGGGAATAGACCCAAAATGTGGGAAACACCACAGAAAATAGTCTGCTGAAGGATTTAGGAGTGAAGGCATCCTGTGGATCTTTTGGGATTGTGCAAGGTCATGGTTTTACTGAACGGCTGAACAACTAAAGCAAATGCTGTGTCATTGCAAACCCGTCTTCATGTGCCATGTCATGCCTTAGCACAGTGCCTGGGGTTGATTTGTGCCACTGCAAGCTTAAACTATATGGACAGAATACAGTGTATTCAGAAGGTCTCTCGCTGGGTAAAAAGGCAATAGAACAGAGAAGTGGGGCCATCGAGAGCTAATAAGAAAAATCCTCCTTGCTATAGTGAGGGAGAACAGCATGATGATGATGACAAGCCTGTGAATGAATACAGGACTTAAAACCCTCTTTAAATGTTCTTTCATGGACAGCTTTCACAGTGCAGCTGGGCTGGAAGGGGAAAAACGATCCAAAAAAGTAGACTCTTGTGCAGCATTACAGAAGCAGTTGTCTTTTCCCACCTTTTTACTGTTTTTTTTCCCCTCTAGTTTTTGCAAGACACCCTTGATGCACTTTTCAACATAATGATGGAAATGTCAGAAAATGAAACCTATGACTTCCTTGTGTTTGATGCACTGGTGAGTCTTCTTTTGTGGATTTAGAGTGTTTGTTTTTCAGCCACATTTTGAGTCTGTCCTGATGCTTGCTTTAGATGAGGTATTTTTCTCTGAGAATAAATGATATTTAAACACTTCTTAAGGCATTTTCAGGAGCTAGGACTGAGAAATCCATTGAACTTTTTAGTAATCACAGTGAAAACTGATAAATGTTTACATAATTTATAGTAGTTTCTTCAGATAACATCTTGCTTTAAGGCAACATACAGAAGAGAAAAGTGGTATTATCTATCTGAAGCACAAAGAGAAATAATTTGTTTGTGGTCATGATGGTGGAGGATTTGTGGCAGTGGTGGGAATAGAATTTATGTACCCCAAATCCTTGCCCAGCACTCGGGCAGGGGAGGTGATGGCTCCTCTTAACCTCCATAGAAGGGTTGTAATGACCAAGTAAAAGACTTCCCAATAAGTTTTCCATGTCTTTGGAGAGGCTGCTCAGTGTGTGTGTGAAAGGCACTGGCTTTGGCATGCAGTGACAAAGCTCTCTGCTTTGTGCTTGTCAACGAATACATACTTGAGAGTTCCAGGAGAAATATGAAGTCAGATGTATCCAGCTGACACTGGCTGGAGGAGTGAGTATTGGAGCACAGAATGTCCTGGCTCTAATACATGTCATTGTAGTAACAGGACTGAATGTTATATCTGAGTATAAATCATCAGAATCTCAAGTACTAGCCTGAAAAGCAAAATTTCTTAACTTTGAAAAAAGGTCTTCAGCATCTCTGTGCCTATTTAACCTGTGCTATGACAGTGTCATGTAAAGACAGTGAGTGGTGCTGCTTCCTGCATCACTGTTGCTGCTTTGAGAAGTAGCTGCCTTTATCTCTGAGATTTATCTCTGAGATTTTCTATCCAAATGCTGCTATCCTCTCCTCTGAGCAGTGATGTAGTCCCACACACCACGGTGTTCAGTCACTATTAGAATAAGAATAACACTATCTGTAGTATTAAAGCTATTAGGAAAAACAAAAACTATTACCCAGCAGAATAAATGGCATGCAATTAGAGACTGAGTTATGTTCCAGTTCGTTAGAGGTTGTGTGGCTCTGTACATCTGTTTCCTTTCGAATTTTTGGCAGGTATTTATTATTTCTTTGATTGGAGACATCAAGTTCCAGCATTTCAACCCTGTACTTGAAACTTATATTTACAAGCACTTCAGCGCGACCCTGGCGTATGTGTGAGTATCAGGAACCACAAACCCACGGGCTGTCACTCAGGAGGGGACTCTCTGGTAGTTTCAGTAAACTACACTAATGGGATAAAGGCAGCTTAGACCAGACAAGAGTGTTCTGCCCTATTCTCTTCTGCTTTCAGGAGAGCAAGAAACCCTGTCATTACAATTTCTGTTGTGAGATATCTTTTCTGTAAGGAAAAGACAGTGCTATCATGGAAAATCCTGTATCAGACTGTGATTCAGACTCTCTCTTGACCTGTAGTCCTCTGTGTGTGCATGTTTGTGTTGTAAAAGCATCTTCATGGTTTTCAACCTGATTTCCTACTCAAAACAGGTTTAATGGAACCAGTCTGTATCCGTCTCTCCCTTATAACTGTTGAGTGCTTTGGTCTGGTATTGCTGCTAAAAGGCTGGTGGGGTGGGATGGGGGTGGTGGTTACAGGTATATACAGAAGATGATGGAAAATACCATAAGTCGTTATTTGGCAGCGGGTGGAAATTGATGAAGGAACAGAAATTCATAAGAAATCTGCTCTGATAGGTATCGCTGCTCAGGAAAAATTCATAAGAAATCTGCTCTGATAGGTATCACTGCTCACGAAACTCTTCCGTCTTGCCAGTATCTGCCTCAACCTTTTCAATCCACCCAACCCCAAAAGTACTTTGAGCAGAAGAAAGTTTGAAATAGTCTGTAGGCTTTGTACTCTGTGCTACAATTTTAGGGGTACGGATGGATGGGGAGCAGCAGCAGAACCACACATGGCTGAAATAAAACAAGTGACACTGTGGTTAACGGTAGCAGAGATAAGAATGGTGTTCAACTCCACCATGGATATTAGGAACAATTTTGACCCTGAAAGGGTTATTAAGACTTGGAATGGGCTGCCCAGGGCAGTGGTTGAGGCCCCATCCCTGGAGGGATTTAAAAGCCGGGTTGACATAGTGCTTAGAGACATGGTTTAGTGATGGTTTTTATCAGAGTTAGGTTGATGGTTGGACTAGATGATCTGAAAGGTCCCTTCCAACCTGGACAATTCTATGATTCTATGATCTGCTTACAACCAGGCAGGTTGAGGAGACCACACTCTGCAGCAAAGGCTAAATGTCGTGGTGGGTTTTAAACATGCAGATTGCGTGAGGTTACACTTACATATTGCAACTTTCTCACATTGACTGTCATTTGTTTAGAAGAAATTTGGAATTCTTCACTTCTGGATGTGTGGGTATGGACAGTGGGAGTAATTCTATTTCACTGCAGCATTTTTATCTATGGAACTCAAAGCAGTTTAAAAATTTCAGCTCACAATTGTTTGTGCTGTTTTACCAGGGAAGGAAAAAGCTGATGTGTAGAATTTATTTAGCCACGTGTGAAAGCTTAGTTGCTTTCAGTCAACCTGTTGACTTCATGTGCTTAAAAATGAGACATTTGTTTAAGTGCTGTAGCTTGTCATGGCTTATGTGCCCAAGGATACCCAGGAGGTTGGTGGAGAAGTCAGGAGTAACACCTAGGTCAGTTGACTTTCCAGCTCCTTGATGTAGCACCCCTCCACCCAAAGGTTGTTACCCCAATGGTGACAGGCAACCAAAAAGCTAAAACTGAGGCCAATAGGGAGGGCAAAACCAGAAACCAAACTCCTTTTCCCCCTCTAAAAATCTCTCCTTATTTTTACTGATATGCATGGATTCCTGGTGCAGTGTTCAGCCTCTCTTGATGGCTGTCACCTACAGAGAATTCTGTGAGGAAACATGGTTCCACAAAGCTCTGAAGTCCCCATCTCCTGCATTGCTTTCTTCTTCCCTGCCCTGGGCACACAACCCCTGCCTGTGTATGGTTTCCTTTCTTTTTTCCCTCTAACCCGTGGAAGAATCCTCATTCTTATTTCTCTTTGCTGTCAATAAACTTCTTTGTCTGATTAATGAGCAAACTATGTCTTAGCTTTGCTGTTCCCTTGCCTTTCTTTCCAGCTTAGCTTGACAATGTGTTATCTGCATAATGCCAAGTGGGCTCTGGTGTTAGATAGTGTCCTCCATGTGCTCCACGTGCCAGGATTTGGTGGAGCAGGGAGTTGGGTGCTGGCAGGGTGGCAAATAGAGCAGGTGAGCACAAAAGCTGTTGCGCACTTGGCTATCGCTTACACGCCGCTCTGGGTGCTGTGAGTTGGTTAATGAAGAGAAGAGGATTTTGCCTGAATATTAGCTGCTGCAGCACTCCCAGAGGATCCTGATCTTCTGATTCAGCAGAGACTAGATGGCAAATACTCAATAGTGTGTTTATGCAACTTCTATCCACGATTTTTGGAGAAGAGAAGGCTGAAGACCTTATTAATGATTCCAAGTATCTAAAGGGTGGGTTGAAGGAGGATGGAGCCGGACTCTTTTCTGTGGTTCCCAGTGACAGGACAAGGGGCAACGGGCACAAGCTGGACCAGGGGAAGTTCCACTGCAATGGGAGGAAGAACTTCTTTGGGGTGAGGGTGGCAGAGCCCTGAAAGAGACTGCCCAGAGAGGATGTGGAGTCCCCTTTTCTGGAGATCTTCAAGCCCCACCTGGATGCCATCCTGAGTGATGTGCTCTGGGCAGCCCTGCTTTGGCAGGGGGTTGGACTGGATGGTCTCTAGAAGGTCCCTTCCAACTCTGACGATTCCGTAATTCCATGATTCTCAAAGCACCCAGTAAGTATTGCTTCAGAGGAATTCTGTGCTCCACGCATGAGAAATGGTAACACGTGGAGAAGGTGTTAGTCCACCTTCAGTGGTAATTGGTTTTCCAGCTTCCTGAATGCTTCATTTTAGGAAAAAAGAAAAGCAGGTCAAGAAGCTGGAATTTGTAGACAGATTTGTAGACTTTTCTGAGAATTCATGGACTGCTTATGAAAATCTGGCATCCAGTGAAGCCCAAGATTTCAGAAGGAAGTAGGCTGTGAAGAGGAACCCGTCGTCTATTGATTAGACTGTAGTTCCTCTCTGGAATAAGGAAGCTGGAGTTACACTGAAACTCAACTGTGTCTATATTTATGCTCCTTTGTGTTTTATTTCCAAAGGAAGCTCACCAAAGTACTGAACTGTTACGTGGGAAACGCTGATGACTCCAGCAAGACAGAGTTGCTGTTTGCTGCTCTGAAAGCCTTGAAGTACCTGTTCCGATTCATCGTTCAGTCACGAATATTGTACCTGAGGTAAGGCCAAGGCCGTTGCCATCCTCATGGCTCCTTTTGGAAGTCAATGGAGTTCCTTCCTCTCAGCACCACTGGGGGGAATGTTCTTTAGCATGTCCTCTATCCTTGAATTATTAAAAGTATTTTTCTACCCTCTGTCTATGGGTGGAGAAAACAAGTTGAGTAAAAATTGAAATACCTAAATTGAAGAGGAGAATCCTTTTAGTCACCTGTAGCATGCTAGAAGCAGCATATGGTAGTGCTGAGAAGGAACCTGTTACTTGTTAAAAAAATTAATGCATGGAGTGACTTCCCCATTTTAAGAAATTTTAAGAAACAAATGCACACGTGGTTAATTGTTAGGTGGGGTGAGGTTGATGTGTCCAGTTAGGGCATGGTCAGTGACAGCAGTTTTACTGTAGCCTCAAAACATGTTTTCAGAGATTTACAGTGACTGTTTGGAATCCTTTCCTCATGTTCATTCTGGCTTTTTTGTTTTATACAGAATGAGCTACTTGATTTTTGGAAGCAGAATTTGATGCAATGGCAATTTAAGAAGTGCAGCTTTTCCTTTAGAAGAGATTTCAGCAGGAAATTGCTGCAGAATCCTCAATGCCATTTTTACACTCAAGTCTTTGTAGAAGGAGATTGCATTAAGATGTTGTTCCACAGGATAAAATCATATTTCAGCTACTGTGACACTGTTAGCCTGGATTTATGTGTATAACTAGCTCTTTCTGTTCTTTGTAGGTTTTATGGGAAAAGTGAAGATGGGGATGAATTTAATGATGCAATACGCAAGCTGTTCCTCTCCTTCAACGTCCTCATGGACCGGCCTTTGGAGGAGGCTGTGAAGATTAAGGTATGCATCATTTTCAGGGAGAGGTAATATCTTTTATTAGATCAACTGGTACAGTTGGAGTTAGGGGGGAGGCAGAAAAAGGGCAAGCTTTGAGGCACGTAAAACCCGTTCAGATGAGTCACGCCACCCCTGGATGTCTGTTTCAATGAACTGTGCGTGGCAGGAAAGGAATATTTAAACCTCAGAGTTTATCAAATAAAGATATGAGAGCTGTGGCTTCGCTGAAAACCCTTCAGCACTTGCTAGTATGGGAGCTAACAACCGGTGGAGATGTGATCTACTGCAGTGTGGGACACACTCCAACCAGTAACATCGAGCTTGAGGGTGTTGGAGGTAGAAATCTTAAACCGCTGCAAAAATCGATGTCATGCTGGCAAGGAAAGTAATGAAGAAACAAATGATTTCCAATTTTATGTTTGCTTGTTTTTTCTGGTGTCAGCTGGATTATGAACTTTCAGGGTATGCTCTGAGGAGGAGCAGAGCAGCCATGCAACGAGGCCTTTGGATTGTTTCCTTCGTTTCAGCTCTTCTAGCCAACATGCTTTTCTCTCTTTGAAGGAAAGATTGATTCTGAACTTTTAATTAGCACTTGGGTGATTTAAAGTCTAACTTTGATCCAGTCAGAGTACCTGCTGGCCCCAGCCATGAAGCATCACAGAGAGACCTTTGCATCTAATTGTTTGGGTGCTACATTTCTGAAAGCCATACTAGTTCCTAGATAACTCGTTACTCGTGGACACGCTGAAGTATGTGCAACACCGAGTCAATTTAACTGACTGGTGCTTTTCATGGCAGGCCATGAGGAGCTTAATCCCCGGAACTGCAGGATGTTTGCAAAAACTAAAGAACTTGGCTGTGAATCCTTCCTCCTTCACCTTTTCTGCTCTGCGCAGCAGATGTGTAGTTGCTGGAGGCTCTTTGGATGTATAAATTCGATCTTAAGCCAGTTCTCTGCAGGTGTCTGCCTATTTGCTCTTGACAAAAGCTAGGTTTGCCATGTGAGCTATGGGCATTGTTCTTGAGACTTTGCAC